GAATGGGTGTGGCGAGAGGGAACAATAAGGACCAGATTTCGATGTGGGAGGAGCTGGTGGAGTTGGGTCAGAAGTGGCCTGTGAAGTGGGACCTGGTGGATGAGTAGGAGGTAGCTGGTGAAGAGAAAGGGGAAAGGATTTCCAGTTCTGAGATAGACGGGTGTACAAAGGCTCCAAGGTTAGGAAGAGCCTGGAACAATGGCTGGAGACATTTAAGAAGGACACTCCCTCAGTCGCTCTCTCACTCCTGGGACATAGCACACAACACCTGCGAAGTAAAGGAGAAGATTACCGGGGCTCACAGTCTTAGGGGTTTCAGTCCAGAGCTGGCAGGCTGCAGGGCAGAAACAGAATGGTGGGCGAGTGCATGGCGGCAGAAAGCTGCTCATGTCACGGCCAGGAAGCAAGGAGGGCAGGGAGGAGCTGGGAGGGACACGCAGCTTCCCAGTGAGCACCACTTCCAGCCCGCTGCCTCTCCCAGACCAAAGCAGCTGCAGCGCAGTGCCACGATCCAGTCACCGAGGGTGTGAGGCTTCGGAGGGACATCCAGTAAAGGACACTGAGCTGAAGGTGGGAAAGCAAGGAGGGGAAGGCAGGAAGTGAGGCTAGTGAGGGTCTAGGAGATCCTGGCACCGGGTTTGGATTTTATTCAAGAAAAGAGAAAGGGAACAATTGACAGAGTGAAGAGACAGCCTACAGTATGGGAGAAAATTCCTCTGACATTGCACTAATGTCTATAACATATAAAATCTAAAAAAAGTAGACCCCCAAAGACAAAAGACACGATCAAAACAATGGACAACTGGGAGGAAGAGACACTTCTCAGAAGAAGCACGGATGGCAGTAAGTACATGGAAGAGTGCTCAGCATCTTTGGCCATTAGGGTGATGCAAGTCAAAATGTCTGTGAGATTCTGTCTTACTCCAGAAAGAATGGCTTCATCAAAAAACAACAAATGCTGGGCAGTATGTGTAGAAAAAGGAACCCTTCCATATTCTTGATGGTAAAGCAAACTAGTATAGCCACTATAGAAATCAGTGTGAAGATTCCTCACAGAATGAAAACAGAAATTCCATTTCACCCAGCTATACTTCCTCTGGGTATTTTTGCAAAAGAACTGAAAGCATCATGTTACAGTGATACGTGCACATCCATGTTTATAGCAGCAAAAGTTACAATATTGCAGTTAAACTATGGGAAACAGCCCACATACCCATAAACAGATAAATGGATAAAGAAAATGGAGTATTAGTCATAAAGAAAAATACTATAATATTAATATTGATAATAAGTAAAATAAATTAAACACAGAAAGTTAAATATCACATGGTTTCTTTATATGATAAACCAAAAATATCAGTAATTTGAACAAAACAAAGGGGGGGATTTGGAAACAAGGAGGTAGACGATTTGGAGATGGAGAAGCAGATAAGACAAGGTGAGAAGGGAGTGTGAGGGGAAAGGACGTAAAAATGATCAAGATAATATATATCATGTAACAAGATTATATATAAAGGCGACTTTTACATAATGATTATAATATGATAGCACACACTAGATGGAATGTAGCAATATGCTGTCTGGTTCTTAGCAAATGCTATCATGAGGACTCATTTTCACTTCATCACAGACATAGAAATGGGTTGGACATGAGATTTCAGTTCCGAAGGCAGGTTCTTGGAGTGCTGTATCGCACCTCTGACTCTCAGTTGTACACACTAATGCAACAGGCAGCTACGCCTCTCTGCAAGGCACCAGTTCTTAGATAGCTCGACAGTCCCATCACGGTGCCACAATTCCTTTCTGAACCAAGAGCACCATTTCTTTACATAGTTACGTGATCACTTAAAATACCTTGAGGGTGTAATTCCTTAGAATCCAGAGAGATGAATGCTGCTATTCTCAACAACATATATTCATTAGACACCTGTGATAGGCACTCGAGCTGCAAAAACAGGTAAAGAACAGCTGTGTGGGAGCTTAGGATCGGAACAGCCAAGGGTCAGTGGTACCTAAGAGAGAGGCAGGGACCAGCACTGCAGGCATCCATGCAGAGTCACCGACATAAGCGGATATGCCCTCAAACTCCTTCGAGGGGAAATTAGCTTGGGCTTAAAACCAAAGAGAAGGAGGCCAATTGAAATAATCCATCTGGAATGCCCCAAATGCAAACATGTTATTTCACAATGAGGTATGAAAATATTGGTACCAAATGCATTATTCAGTGAAACAGAAGTCTTCTGCCTACACTTCTCAGGAGTGGGAAAATCCACAATTAGGGAAATTCAGCCAGAGCCAGTTAATTAACTCAAGAGAAATTTCCACACTTTAATTAGAAGCAGAAGCTCACAAGAGAAGTTCTATTTTGGATCCAATGTTAACATTATTAAGGATGGGTTCTTCTGACACATGATTTTTTGAAAAGCGTTCAAAATAATATTATCTTACCCAACCTTGGTGCCACGGAGTCATTTAACAGGTTTGGTTTAGGCTCAGTATTATACAACTATAGTTAAATTCAACAGAGAATTTTTCTTTATCTCTTAGATAAGAAGCATAAATTTATGGTATCTTAAATTTTTAATTTTAATTTTAAGTCCTATTTTCATTTTGAACCATATGGAGTAGTACAAATTCACTTCAGTTGTCTCAAGATTACATTTTGAAGTTTCAAGGCAGGTTTCTTATTCAGGATTGATGGCCAAAAGGACAGCTCCTTTATTCATTCCATACAGGATTTATTCAGGCAAGTCTGTGGAGAAAGTATTGTCTACTAAAGAAAATAGGATATGTGATACAAAACTGATGAATGTTTCAATTAATTTAAAAATCATTACAGTAAAAAACACATTGCTGTTACTCCCCCTCAAAATACTTTCCCCTTCTCAAACACACTTATCCCATTTTTCTTGCTACTTTCTGAAAGCTCTGAAAGCCCTCCTTTGTGAGTGTCTTTTCCTGACGGCTTCCATGTCTTGAAGCAATTCAAACTGTTGGCAGCAATTTCGGTCAAATCAAAACGTTGTGCTGTGTCTTCATCCACCTTCCTCATGGATCTAGCGCCATGTGAATTCTGACTCTTTCCCAGAGACAGAGCCCATGGAAGGTGCCATGGCTTCGTCTAGATGGCCCCTCAAAGCCTTACACAGCCATAGGAAGGGCTGTTTCGAAGTGGCTGAATCTAGGGTGTGTGATACTGGGGTAAAGGGTGTGATTACTAAATTAGTCACTGACTGGTTTAGCATACTTCTCAGTGTGAATAACGGGACGGGACGGCCCGCCCTGGGTGTGGGCCAATATCCTGGACGGGATAAAAGGGAGAGGCAGGCTGCTGCTGCTGTTGACTTTTGCTGGTCTGCCTGCTTGCCAGGAACTGTTTCTCCTTTGTGATGCCCTCTGCCCTGCCACCCTGGAGCCAGCTAGCTATAGACTGAAACCTCTACAAACTGTGAGCTACAATAAATCTTTTCTCCTTTAATTTGGGTGTTGGATATTTTGTTTCAGCAATGAGAAAACTAGCTAAGACAGAAGGTCAATGTTTCAATTGATTCAGGAATTGAGGCAGGCACAACAGTGCCACTAAAGCCACTCAGGAAAGAGGACTGCTTCAGGAAGTGGCAAGAATAGTGGGCAAATGTGGTCAAAGTGAGGGGAGTGTTGTAAGGGGATTAATGACAACTTGTCTTTTGCCGTAGCTACTTTTCAAAAATTGTAAATATCCACCATATGTTTTGATCCCACCTTGTATGAGTGGGACTATGTGGAGCATTTGGTTTTCAGAAATACATAAAGAGCCCACAAGAGCCAATTTGTTTTTACTTCATTAAAAAATTAATATACTTAATTTTTAAAAAGCTGTTTGGAGTTTACAGAACAATTGATCAAAAACTAGCGTTTCTCGGTATACTGTTATCCCTAGCACCTCACTACTCCACCCGGTGTGACATAGTTGCATAGTGAAAAATATTTGCTATAATGAATGAGCTCATAATGTTACAGTGTCAATAAGGAAAATCCACAGCACCTTACATTAAGGTTGAGTCCTGAATTCTGTGAGTTTTGACAAATGAAAGACAACACATACCCCCCCAAGACACTGCAACACACAATGGATTAACAACTCTGTACACTCCCTGTGCTCCCTCACACACCCCTCCTTCCTCCCACCAGCCCTGGCAGCCACAGGCACTTTTGTTGTGTCCACAGCCTGGCCTTGCTCAGAATGTCACACAGTTGGACTCACACGCTACGCAGCCTTTTCAGATCCCTTCTTTCACCCAGCAGCACTCTGGCAGGGTTGTTTAGATCACTCAATAAGGATTCACTACACAGGTGCACTGCATTGTGTTTACTCGCTGAAGGGCATCTTGGTTGCTTCCAAGTTTGGGAACTGCTACAGGTCTTGTGTTCAGAGTTTTGAGTGGACACAAGTTTTTAACCTGTTTAGTAAGTACAAGGAGAACTACTGCTGGATCATAAGGTAAAAGTAGAATTAGTTTTGCAAGAAACTGACATTATTTAGCATTGTCACCGGCAATAAGTTGGAGATCTTGTTTTTCCAGTTCCTTAACAGATTTTGGCATTGCAGGCATTTTGGATTTTAGACATTTGAATACTTATGTGGTAGTAGCTCATTGCTATTTGAATTTCAATTCCCTTTTGACATATGATGCTGATAATCTTCTCATATTCCCATTTGCATATCTTCTTTGCTGAAGTGACTTTTCAGATCTTCTGCTCATTTTTTAATTGAGATGTTTGTTATTTTTCTTGTTGAATTTTAATAGTTATTTGTTCAATGCTATTTTAAAGATATTTATGGTTATGAGATTAATAAGACATAATCTCTCACTTCTTTCTCATTTTTGTGCAGGCAAAATATAGATATAATAGCACAATGAATATCTTCTGTGTGCTTTTCTCTTAGGATAAATTTTAGGCATGAAGCACTAGGTAAAATGATGCAAACATTGTCATAACTTTTGTTACATCTTTTCCAGATTTATTTACTAAACAGTGTTCCAAATGACCATGCAAGAATAAGTGAGATTAGGCTCACAGCCAAGTTCCCAATGTCAGGACTCAGAATGACAAAATACGTGGAATACATTTATTAGTACTGTCCATGAAAGTGAGGCCACATCTTCCGTGTCTTCAAAGGCATCATAACTCACTGAGCTCAGTGTCTGGCATCCCAAAGTGCCCAATAAATGTTTTTTGAATGAATGCATAAATAAATGATTATTTGGGAACATTTGTGCTATTTGTGATATTATCTCAATATATTAAGTGCCCCAAGGTCTTTTCTTTAAAATTGCTCAGCACAAGAATTGGGTGAGTCATCCTGCTAGATAGACATGGTCAAGTGAAGACAACCAGAGACCCAGCCATCACTTCTGATGCTCTTCGTGTCACTTGAGGCAGACCAGGGTCAGGAGAAACAGAAGGGGACATGGAAATACAATCCTTACATATGACAACAGCAAGATTCAAGCTGGAAGGCCAGCACCAAACACTACGCTCAAAGACAGGAACGGTGGGGTTGGTCACCTGTGGGACTGTCCTCACGGCTCCACGTAGGTGCATTTTCTTACTGTGTACAGCCTCATGCCATGGAGGTCGCTGTGTGTTGTATGACTGGGTCCTCTCGCAATCGAAGCTAATTGGTTTATGGGTAGACACACAAACCATATTAGACATGTGAGTCCTTTTCCAGGGAATTGAGAAGACATATGCCCAAACTGTCAGGACATTCTGCAGGAAGGACTACAAGATGTGCTATAGTTTCATTTTATTTCACTTGTTCGTAGTTACATAAATTATTTCCCAGGGAGAACAGAGCTAAAACCTTGCTGTCTCATCCCACTTAAGGACCGCTTGCCAAATCCACATGTCAAAAGAGAAGGAGGCAAAGTCACATAGCAGAGAGCTTAAATCTCTTGCAGCCCGATTAGGCAGAAATGATCAAGAGACCATGGCCTATTCCATGTCTCCATTTTTTCCTAATGATTGTGAACAGATGGCAGCTATACTATTTAAAGAATAGTAGATCCTGGAATTTGGCCCCTTTCCAAAGTCAAATGAAAGAAGCAGCAGAATTCATCTGGCTCAGTAGCAGAAGAGAAACTAAAAATAGGCCCCAGCCGGATCCCAGCGAGGCTGCCAGTTGCTAGGCAGAGGCCCTCTCCCCTAAGAGTGAAGGGTCCTCCATCCACAAGTCCCATGTGGCCACCAATTTGTCTCATGGATTTGTTTCATGATTGTGCTTGCGTAAAGTCCATCTCCATGCTTTTCCATTTGTGACTAATTTCAGATGTAGACTAAGATAATTTACAAATCAAAATAGTTCTGGGCTTTTGTGGTCTTTGAGTCCAAGTGTGATACCCCGCCGTTCTCAGAGTTTCTCCCAAGTGCTCTTACTTCATTCTGAGAAGCACTGATTTCCTTTAGTTACAAAAATGACAGTATTAATTCAGGGCAACGGTCCCTAAGAGTTACATCAGTTACAATCTGATATAACATAAGATGGTTTAATTAAATCGCCGTTGGCTTTCGTGGGGGGCGATTACTAGAATTTCTGTTTTTTTTCATAGACAGAGTGGCTGGTTATGCAACACCAGTCTCTCACAGAAAAGCACGCTTTCATGCATGCTGCAGTGAATCTGAGTTTAGAGTCCTGACCCGAGCCGTCAGACAAGGAACTGCGCTCGTGAATCTCTAAGCATCATGCCAGCAAGTAGGGTCGTTCACTGACTGGAAAAACACAATGAATGAACATTTCTGATGCTCTTGGTTGTCTCAAGCACTGTTCTCGAGAGGTCTCGATTCTCTATCCATTGAGAAAAGGAAACAAACATAAGCAAACAGAAAGAGAATTGTAAATAAATTCTCTTTCTTACTCTTCTAGGGGCCCCAGAATTATGCGGCTTTACTGAAGCGAAGGAAGGATTTTATAGTCTGGAAATGGTCTCGATCCCTGGGCCCTTGAAAGAGGACTGGACGTCTCACAGGGCCTCTCGCGGTTTTGTGTCCTCTTGGACTCTCGCCTGCCCACACCTTCATCATGTAGCCCTGGCTTCTTTTTTCCTTGCTCAAGGCAGGAATCACAGAAATGTCTTAGTGAGGCCTCCATGCATTTATTCCAAACTCCATCACCGGAACTTGAGAGTATCTCCTAGGATGTTTGCTGTTCCTGTCCTTTGGAAACGCTACCGAATGATGACTTTTGCTTCCTGTTTTTAATATATGCTAGGTTTGGAGGAGAGGAAAAACTCACTGTCTTCTACCAGGTTTTTAGGAAAACAAAGTCGCCAACTGACAGCTCTGGTTCAAAAACATACTTGTTTATTAAAGTAAAACTAACCAGACGGCTTTAGCTTGGCTACCTTTGACATTCTCTACTCCTTATGCCTCTGTTTGGTTCAAGAAAAACATCTAACATCTTTGCCAGCTTTTCCTCAACTCAGCTCTTTACTTAACATGAATAATTAAAACAGTGCAATTAAAAACATCAGAAAGCCTACAGTTGAGCTAATTTATTTTTATTAAAATTTGATTCACAAGATTCAGACTTGTTCCACTAAGCAAAAATATGCAGCCAAATTCAGAAAATGCTCTGGGAGGCTGGAGAAGGTACATGAGCATTTCCAAGTGCCAAGGCAGGGTTAGAATCATTAACAAGACCACAGGGAAATCAATACTAATTGCGAGATAGATACAGTTATTAATGCATATTTCAGTCTGGTCTGGTGGGAGTACAGACTCCTCCACCGGCATCTGAGCTTGGAGACACTGACAATTCTAGACAAACCAGCTCTAAATAGCCAAGATGTGTGTACAGCATTGCAATTTTAGGGGTCTAAAAATGGATATTCTGAACTCCAAGCCACAACCAGACATCTGCATTCAAATGAACGGGTGTCCTTATTCCATAATTATAACTCAGTTTTATTGTAGAAATTGCGTATGAAGCAGCGGCCGTCACGGTTACCGGGAGCCCATGCTGTCACCCGATCTTTTTCGACGTTTCCCATGCACTTCCTTCCACATCTTTACAGTGACGTTCACCAGTCAGACTCCAGTCCTTCCACACTCACTGGCACTGTGTCCTGCATGCAAGTTGTTGCATGATTATCTTGGCTACTGAAAACTGTCCTGATGAGTAGATTTTTCTCTACTCTGGCAATTCAGTCAGGGCTAAGTAATTGCATCTTTTCAGAACAGCGGCTTCTACCTTAGACCGAGCAGACTTTGATTGGCTTCTACTTTTAGGAGGTAGTTCAAGGGGGAAATGGGCAAGACATTAAACTTTCCATTCCTATGGACTTCATTACAGTTCAGTTGTACAAAGGGCCCTGAAGCCATTAGTGAGTGTGCATGCAGTGTGGGTGACTATCGCACGAGGGACAGCTTTCGATCACGCTTGTGGTGTACAGCTTGCAAGCTGTCTGCTACTTCCTGCACCCGTCTTGTTCTTTTACTTGCTATGCCATATGGGCCATTATACTTACCACACCTTGGAGATAGGACTAGAATGGGGGCGGAGGAGGGGAAATCTTTCACACAACTAAATTTTAAAACAGAGATGTATTGAAAACTAATGGCTGAGTTTGGGGTGTAGCTCTGTGGGGGAGCACTTGACCAGCAGGCACAAGGCCATGGGATTCACCCCCAGTACTACACACACACACCACAGGGCCATTATACTTACCACACCTTGGAGATAGGACTAGAATGGGGGCGGAGGAGGGGAAATCTTTCACACAACTAAATTTTAAAACAGAGATGTATTGAAAACTAATGGCTGAGTTTGGGGTGTAGCTCTGTGGGGGAGCACTTGACCAGCAGGCACAAGGCCATGGGATTCACCCCCAGTACTACACACACACCACACACACACACGCACACACACACACCAAGGGGACAAAATAAATCAAACTGATTTATTTAGAGCTGATGCATTTTCTAACTGTCTGCACCACAGCAGCCCCAGGGCAACTTAAGTCTTTAGCTCTGAAAAGCACTGAAAGATATTTACAAAATGGAAGTGATTGTGTTTAATGAAGTTTTCCATTTCTAAAGATTGATTTGCAGTAGAATAAAATACAGAACAGGAGAGGCTGGGCCAGCTTGCATCCTGACTGGAGTGAAGTGCATCTTCCTGAGGCCATAGCTTTCTTAGACTTACAGGATGGTGGACCCGGTTACCCAAGCCATTTCCTTCCCAGAGCCGCTATGAGGTCATTTTGCATTTGTGGGTCTCTTTCTCAATAAAGTTTTAAAAATCATGTAAAGGCAAAAAGTTAATATTAAATAAAATATTTCTTTCCATCTACACATTTATTTTTTCCCTGTGATTTAAATTGAGTCCATTTCTGTGAGGCTCCGTGTTGCTCTGGCTCTCTAGAGTGCTGCCTTGGGCCTCCCTCTGCACATCTGGGAAGGAGGACGCCCGTCTTAGTGACAGCAGCCCCCACAGAGGAAGTTCCGTGCTTCTCAGGAACTGAGTGAAATACACACCATGCTGAAGTAAAGTCAACTATATGTGCCATCCAAGGGTGTGCTGCCTTTCATCAGAGATCTTAGGGTTAAAGGCAAGGCTGTTCAAAGGACTAACTATAGACGGTGTGTACTGCTTAAATATTATCAACTTTTTCAAAACAAAATGGTGTTGAAGTCTAACACAGGTACAACAGCAAGCACAAGTCAAAAGCCAGCAGCTCAGTGGCCAATCAGAGTGACTATTGGCAGGTAACTGCACAGAAAATGCTGTCACCACTCCAACACAGAATTCAGGAGATACTCCTGAGCGTGGGGGGAGTATGGGTGCATACGTTCTCTGAATCTGGAAATGAATGCCTCTGTGCTCTGTTTCCTTTTATGTGACCATGCAGGACTCCAAGCAGAGGCCCTGGTCCTGTCCCTGAGCTCCACCGCATCCTCATCCCTGAACCTAGACCAGGGCTCACCATTTTCCTCAGCCACGTTACCCTGACCTTGCTGCCCTTTATCACGGACACCCAGTCCTGCTGTTCATGCTGCTGCTCATTCCTTGGGGCCCCACTATGTGTCTGACTGCAGGCTTGG